CCGCCGCTTTCCCACAGCCATCACCAACCCCGGCTGGTTTTGTTGGCACCTGCGGAGGGGGGTGCCTCCTCCCCTCACGGATCTTTGCCGGCCTTCAGGAGCTCCCGTCGGTCCGGAGCGAGGATACCCGCTTTCTGCGGAGCGGGCATTTCGGATTGTCCATTGTTAAGATTATTCTTCCAGCTTGGTTTTAAGTCGGGAACGGTTCGGCGGAGAGGCGTCTGACGGCATCGGTGAGTCCCTCTGAGGCGTCTCCGAGTTGCGAAAACAGCCCCGTTTGGAGCCGCGGCGGCGGCGCTCGATTCTGGGAACGCGAGTCACTGGCACGGGTTGCGGCCGGGCTTCGGTCCCCACGTTACGCGGAGGCGCGGGGCCAGCTCTCCCGTGGCAAGCAAAGAGACCGGGGCGAAACCAACTGGGCGATCCGTCTTTATACGGTAGATGATCTGTTTGGCTCCCTGGCCGAGCTGCTGTATGTCTGTTACTTCGGAGTAAATCCCATTCGACTCAGTTGAGCTGAGCTTGGAGTAGACCCATCCTGAACTACCTCCCCAAAGCTATGGTTTAAGCGACAAGTTGTGCTGGTTTTCTTAGAGGCCCCTGACATTGGAATAGGGCCGCTTACTCTGAGTAGGTCTATTGGTCCTGCTGAAGACTTGATGGCACTATAAAGTCGGGAGATCGTGGTCAGTCAGAGGGAAAAAAAATTCAGGCGGGTGCGGAAAGGAACAGGTTAAAAAAAAATCCTCATTGCTAACCTTTGAATCTTAGGGTGGCAACTGCCTGGAGAGTTTGATTCCATCTTATTGTTCTCAGTAGGGTTCAGTCCAGATTAAGCAGCAAAGCATTGTATGGGGGGACAGGTACCAGATCCGTGGGGCTTCCTCCCACAGAACTAGTATAGGGTTGTGTCTTTACATTTTGCAGGCTAGGGGGAAAAAAGGGTTTTCCCCATTCATACACTATTTTTTCTCTCTCGCTCTCTTTTTTCAATCAAAGAAAGAGTCTCCCCTCCCCCAGGAGAAAAAAAATAGTACAATTGTCTGGACTCCCGGAGGACATAAAACAGATGTGGGATTTGAGAGGCCTGTCAAGGGCAAGGATGGGGGAGCATGGCAGGGAACAAAGGTTTATTTGTTCTCCCCAGATTTTGCGGGAAAGGCATTTTCCTCTACCAGCCAGATCTTCCTGAACCAAACTTTGTTGTTTTAGTTGACAACAAAGAAATAATTAGAAATCATTTGTTCTCGGCTTTAATTTAGCAGCATCAGCCACGCTGGGAGGGTTGCCATTTAACACCCCCCACACACAAACTTTGATTTCTTTCTTAACAGATTGACTCTCTCTTTGTGTGCCTGCAAACATCTGTTAGGGGTTAGGTGCCTTTCCTGAATAATCTCAGTTCCCCGAGGGTGGGAAGGAAAAACTAGGAAAGCCCTGCTTTTAAGGGGCTCCCCCACACCACAGAAAGCGTAGAAAAGAGACTCCTGTGGCTTGGACAGTCCTCTAACTTTTTCAACCTTTACCAATCCCCTTTTGGCTGGATCCTTCTTCCAGAACTCTAGAGTCCTGATTTTTTTTTTTTAATTTTAAAGGGTCAGGGGAACAAAAAAAAAGGCATATGTTTTTTCCTTTTTTTTCCCAAAGGGGAAAAAAAAGGAAAAAAC